TCAAGCTTTTAAGGGTATTTTAATCTTTTTTATCGTTTTTGTCTTTTAGCAAACAGAAATTTCTAACCGAATATGACAGAAAGAGGTTGTTTGTCATTTTTAAATTTTTTGGGTACCAATATGTCTTGGTAACAAACTTTGGGTACGTGTAAGATAATAGAAATTGACGAAGACAAAGTATAATAGAAAATTTATCAATTTATTTTAATTTGAGTTCATGTGGGTTCCACTTTCAATTATTTGTTAATAACATAAAGTGAAAGTTTATGATTATCCAATTTTAATAATTGGAGACTAATCCGGCAATTCATTATCTTTTCATAATTATTTTTGGTACTTGGTCTTTAACAGAACTTCTAAATGAGGTTATCATTTACATGTCAATACCATATTAAATAATGTATCAATTGGAATAATAATTTAAAAAAAAATTCTAAGATTCATATTATTACTCTTTATTTATACCCGAAAAAGGATAAGAATTAAATCGGAGAAGCCAAAGAAACTTCAATTTAGAAAATTCATATTGAGTCTGAGATATGAATATTCTTTTTAGATAACTGAGATATCCCGACCATATTGAGTCTGTCGTTTTGATGGTATGAAATTTGGCATTAAGCATGAAGAGATTCTTGGTTAAAGCTGTGAAAGAGAAATGGGAATAATGCACCAAAGGTTGTGGGTGGCCAATCCATCACACAAAAAAGCATTCAACAAGTTAATAATTTTTCTTCTTGAATTTTCGATGAAGTCCATTCTTATTCAAGACAAAAATCCAAATGTCAACTTCACTATGGGACAACCTTTTTCTTTCTTACCAGTATTACTTTTAGTGGAGAATAATATTGGGAAAATAACCATTTCATCCTTAATGTTTCATAAAACTGACACTTTAATCTTATACAATTTTTTAGTAATGGTTTGGTCTCTATCACTGTGTCACTTANCCAAATGTCAACTTCACTATGGGAATACCTTTTTCTTTCTTACCAGTATTACTTTTAGTGGAGAATAATATTGGGAAAATAACCATTTCATCCTTAATGTTTCATAAAACTGACACTTTAATCTTATACAATTTTTTAGTAATGGTTTGGTCTCTATCACTGTGTCACTTAGTTTCAGTGTCTCTATTAGGGTCCGTTTGTTTAATTAGTTTTGCACTAATCCTATCTCTATCATACCTAAAATGCACATTTGTTTGTTTCCCTATTTTGAAGGTCATATTTTATTTTATTCAATTAATTTTAAACGCCCTAAGTTTATTAATTTAACTAAACACCTTAAAAAAAGTTTAAAAATTGATAAAAATACCCACACCTACCCACATTTTCTAGATCCCAGCCACCACTACCAGAAGGTGACAGAAATCTAGTATAATGGCGTACTAGCAGCTGGATCTAACTGCTAGTTCACCGATCTATCATTTTCTGACCAGATCTACAGCCAAAGAGTTGGTTGTTGACGGCTAGATCTTTGGCTGTAGCTGGTCGTCAACGACAAACATATCTTTGGCCGCTGTTAACAACCAAACATGGCTAGATTTGGCCGTCGCCGTAGATTTTGCCTTTTCCGACTAAATCCACAGTGGATCTGGTTGGAAAATGTCATCTCCGCACACGACCGGCCAGATCTAGTCTGTCGTGCGTCAATACGGTGACTCCGGCCATCCTCCGGCGATGGTGGCCAGCTATCGGTGTTTAATTGGTGGGTAGGGGTGTTTTTATTATAAGGGTGTTTATTAAATTAACAAATCTAGGGAGATATTTTTATTAATTTTCAAATCCTACCTTGTTATTCCCACTCAACTCTTACTTTTTCAAAAATACTATCCAAAATACTTAAATAAATGGACCCTAATTAGCAAACCTAAAGAATAAAATGTTATTGATACTCTGATAGGGATCAAAGCTTTATTAAAAAAACTTATAAGACTAAACAGTTAAGCCAAACCTCAAGGACTAAATGGTAATTATCCTAGGATATAAATGCCAAACAGTACAGAATGATTTATGAGAGACAAAACTGAAAAGTACTTTACAGAGTGGCTCAGCCACGCCTATAATTTTGGGCCAGGATGCACATTTCATGTAATGTAATTATCTGCACCATTATCATTCAATTTAAGATTCTATTTCATTTGAGTGACGTCACATATTTCATTTGAGTGACGTCACATATTTGGTCATGGTAGCCTTTATAACCTAACACTTTTTGTTTTTTTCCTTGCTTAATTCTCGAGTGTCAGTGAGATTCGAACCGGGGATTATATGTTTCAACCACACATCTCAACACTTGTTTTATCACTTGAGTTATTCAAAAATGGGTTCAATCTATCTTTTCATTTTAAAAATAAGTCGTCTCGAAATTATGTAATCATAAAGTTTAATAAATAGATAATAGGGAAACGAGGTGTGTTAGTTAGCGTGAGTGCTATATTTACTTCATTTCATATAATGAAACATGTGTCCGGGAAGGGATGACGGTCGACTATCACACTCATGATTGACACTAACATTCCTCATAAAGAAATAACTTTATTAAAAGATATCTTTGACCGAGAAAATTTAACCAAGGGTAATATAACCTCGTTTGCTATATGTATCTTAGTTAAAGGCGATTATTAGTTCTAAAGTAAGCTCTTGGAATGATCATGGAGAATGATATTATATTCCATCTTTTTAGTAGTACTTTTATAGTAGATAAATGTGAAAATTATTATAAAATATGTTCAAAATACGATATGAATAATCAAATTTGTGAGGTCGAATGGAAGATTTATAATATGAAACACATAACATGTCACATATTCGAAGAATATTGGGCGCATGCGAGCACTTATAAATACTATTATTGGAAATAAAACATGTTATTTGTGCTAAATTTGGAAAGCAAATACTAATACAATATCTTAATGCAATTTAGGTGATATTTTTTATTTCAATATATTTAATATTTGTAAACAAATTTAAAATAATATTAAAAATACACATAATGATAGTGAAAATAATTTATTTCTTTTTACAGTAGTTTTTTAAGATTGAATTGTGATTTATTTTTCAAAGTATTTCGATAAACACATTTAAGGTTTAATTTTTGTAATTTCAAAAACAAATAACAGTTTTTAAATTTTGAAGTGAAATTATTTTCATGTGTCCTTTATCATATATTTGAATTTCACAAGTACAAATTAGGTTATTGTTCCTTATAAATTTGCCCATAATATTACTTAGCCTTTCAAATTGAGAGGATTACGATATATAGAATTCTAACGGTCATGTAAATAATTAGTTTTAAAATACCGATTATGGATAAAGATTAACTTATAATCTTATCTTATAAATTTTCTTTCACAATTTTGATGTGATAATTCGTAATTAGACATACAAGAACTATAACGAACATACTAAACTATTTATAAATTAACCAATTATAAGTTGTTTCATAAGAATTGTGAGAAAAAATTTGTAAGATTTAATTATAAATACAATATTACGTTACGGATTATATTAATTTTTTATTAAAGAAAAAATAATAAAATACTTGCATGTAAATCCATTCGTACATCGTATCGATGAAAGATAAAATTAAAAAAGTTGAAATGTTGAATTAAGCTGTCAGTGAATAAAATAATACATTAAACACCTCACGTTTTTCACATGCAAAAAGAGATAATAAAAATATTAAAAGTATATCTGAAAGCAGCAAGTAGTGGCGGTATATAATTAATTAAAAGTAAAAGGCTTGGATAAAATAGTCAAAGAATATATAATATAACGACCCACTAAATTGAAATCACTCTGGATTCTTATTCATCTGATCTAATTAAAGATCCATTTGGTTTTGATTCAAGAATATCAACTGATCACAATTTCAAATTTTATACAATTCACTTCTCTAACCCACTAAATATTACAATCTCAGACTGCTATGTAACACTTATTTCTTGTCCTTTTAATTATTATAATTAATTTCTTATACTCTATGAAATCATTTAGAGTAAACAATTTTTTCCCACCAAATAGTAGTGTAATGACACTTTCTCATTCACAGACTTTTAAAATATCATTTTAATACTTAAATTTATATTCTGTTTCTGATTCGTTGTGACTCTAAATTATCACTATTCTCTTCTCCGATCATCACTCATCAAAACTCTTCAAATAACCCTACTCCTACCGACCAGCTAATCGTCGATAATTGAATGATTAGGGTTTGTACAACCGCTCCTCTCAAATCAAATTTTGATCAATCTTAACCACCAAAAGACTAATCGATCTTCTCTTTTCAAAAGCTCTAATAGCTTAAACCGAGTTTGTTCTCTTCATTAACGGAATATAAATTTAAGTAGTAAAATAGTATTTTAAAAGTCTGTAAGTGGGAAAGTATCGTTAAACCATTATTAAAAAATTCATTAACTCAAATCATTTAATTAAAAAGGGTTTTTTCTTCAAACATAGAAACCCCACAGTTTGTTCATACTTATGTGAGCGTGTGGTTAAACGCGAGGACTGCGCTTGGAAGTTATTGAGTTCACATTCCTACAAGCTACAAAGAGCAAATCTTCTTAAAAAATAAAAACCCCACCATAGCTTTCCACTAAACGCGCCATCACTGCCAAGTGCCCACGCTCTAATTCCGCTACGACGGGCACATGTAACTCATTTTCTACAACCAATCACATCTCGACACCCCACAGCATCCACTCTCTACTTGGCTCTTAGTTTCAGATACTTAAATTTGTAATTAAAAGTAAATAAAATCTAAAATAAAAAAGAGTATCAATTTAATAGTTATCATAAATTATTTACACGATATTTTAGTAATTAAACTAAAAGTATCGGTGACGTGGCGATATTTAATCGGTGAAGTAGTTAATCTATATTTAGTTGTTGCAAGAAATCTATTACCAATTTTTGTCAACTAAATTCAGAAAATTAAGTTAAAAAATTTACCCTATAAAACAACCTTTCAAATTTCATTAGTGTCTCAAAACAAGAATGAGGCCAACTTCATCAGAAAATCATTACCATCAACAATCTAAAAAAGATCAGATCAGCAATATTAATCCACCCTTGAAGATCAATAAAGATTCTCATACCATCAAAAAATCGTCTTCGTCGTCGTCGCTGCCATCACACCGGCACCACCCGGTTATTATCTACACGCATTCGCCGAAAATCATTCATACACACCCTAGGGACTTTATGGCATTGGTGCAAAAACTGACAGGGTTATCACGGTCGAATGAGGAGATCAATGGTTTGGAAAACGGGGGTAGATCGTTGGATGAGGAGAATAAAAACGTAAAGATTGGTGGAAACGATGATAATGAATCGTCTTCTGTGATTACGAGCGATGAAAATTGTTGTGGTAATATAGGGGATGGTCAAGTGAATTCTTGTTTCGTGCCACCGCCCATTTTTGAGCCTCCGAATCCATTTTTGACAAATAATATTCCAGTTTTTACACCAAATTCAGCTGAGTTTTTATGTTCGAATCAGCCATTTTACAATTATACAGCTGAGTCATTGCTTTTTTCTCCTAATATCAGAGGTTCTATATCATCATCATCTTCAGCACCAGAAGGCATGAATGATTATCGTGAATTCTAGGATTTTGGAGGATACATAAATATTATTATATTATTTATTATTATTATTATTATTTCAGGAGTTAAATTCTTTTTGATTATTTGTTTCTGCTAATAATAAGGGTTCTGGGTTTTTATTAGATAGAAGTTTTTTTTTCAGGAATAAATTTTTACAACAACAAAAAAATATTGTTTGTTTATTCCTGTCCTTGGTTAATATTAATTTCTGTTAATATTTATAGTTAGAAGAGGAAAAAAGGAAAGAAACCCGTCTTCTTAATTCTTATAGCTGAAATATGCTCAATTTCTTTTATATTCAATATATTTTGTTTACGTTTTAGAAAAAAATATCAGATCATTTAGATTTTTTTTTCTAAGAGTACTGCTTGTAATCTCCTTCTCCTACCCTTTTCTGAATTAGTGTATATATTTTTTTTTTTCAATTATTGTTCATGGTTTTTCTATAACAATAATTTTAAATCTCTGCAAAATTTTGTATATAATTACTGACATTGTAGATATGATATTGCACGTAAAAAATCACAGTAATGTTACATGAATTTAACGGTATAAAAAAACTGAGAAGAAAATATTAAGAGTTTAAAATTGATGAGCGATAAGGCTTTTCTGAAGAGAGAAAGTATAAAATATTAATAAGGTTGATTTGAGCTCATCCGCGATAGTTTCAGGTCCACCATTCTAGTCATCAACCACAAAAAAAAAAAAAAAAAAAAAACAAGTATTAGAAGTTGGGATAAGTTGTGTTAACACCTTTATTTTATAATCTAAAATGGATGAGAAATTTGAACAAATCCTTAATTTATTACAGGACAAAGGTTTTGAACTGGAATTTTTTTTAAAAAGAAAGTTCAAGTTCACTTGCATCAGCTGCAAGAACCAAAATGGCGCGTTTTAGTAAGACTTTATAAATTATCACGTATAGCCTTATCGTTAACATTGACCGTTAAATTTAATATGGAAGAAAAATTATAGAATTTCAATAGAATGATAAAATAAAAGTTAATGCTTCTGTTTATAATTATTTTGGAATGAAATTTTTATTTTAAGATATATTTTGTGATGATTTTTTTAGAGTTGAATGTAATTTCACTAATCATGAGGATTGAAAGTGAACGAAAAAATGTATGTCCGTTTGTTTTTTATATGAATTTAACTATAGTTAATCTATTGAGGCTTACTATGCTCTCTGCTGTGTTGTTTGGTGGTTATTGATTTTTGGCTAAGGTGGCTGTTTTTGCATATGCTCTCCTGTTCCTTTGGTGCGGCTGTTGTGTATAGGACTGTATATCTAGCTTTTGGTTTGTTCGTCTTTTGTCTGCGCAAGGGTTGAAGTGCTTGGGGTAGCCCTCAAGGTAATTCGTTTCTTTATAAAATTACCTTTACCTAAAAACTAATATTTCGTCTATATACCAGTATATTTCTGGTACAACTCCGATTTTAAGTGCAGTCAAGACTAGAACGTAGCTAACTTCACAAAATGCAAAAAGAGTTCAGACTGATCGCTCACATTGGGCCGTACTAGAACTTCAAAACATCCACACTACAGACTGAATATATATAAAAATAAAAGCGAGCACATAATAAAAAAAATTGATTGTATTATTGATGTGGGTTTATGTCTCTTTCATATTAGTGTGAAATTTACAATTCACAACTGAGACTGGTAACCAAAAACATACTTTACAAACATGTATGTCACAATGTACTTCACTTCCTCTTCTTGTCTTCCTTTTCTCTTTCCAGAATACAGGTGCCGCCGGTATGCTGAACCACCATTCTTTCAATCTCCTCATCCATCTCTCCGTGCTGCTTTCCTTGGAGGAGAAATCTCGTAAATGTCTCCAAAAATATCAGTGCTATGTACTTACAGGGCACAAAGACCAGATCAATGCTGTTACCAAAGGGTAAGTGCAAATTTCTCACTTGCCTGGAACAAAAACATCCAATCAAATAAGCGTGGCACATTACCAAAAAAGGAAAAGAATTGAACATAAAAAGGTATGATCTCTACCCTGACAAATAGTTTTGCAATGCTTGAATAGAAATGAAGGATCAGAAAGATGAAGTGCGAACCTGAGGAAAAATCGAGAGCAGCAAGGCACGCAGCTTAAGAAGAAGACTTGCTCTCCTGGATGAGCTGTTCAACTTGAGAAATTGCATTTTGAACAGCCAAGAGCTGCTCCATTGTGGTTCATAGGTGGTGGTGCTATACTTTAACTTCATCAACAGGCTTGCCTTGGTTAAAGAATTGTGAGTATCATAAAGATCGCGAAAAAGATGTGCATCAATGCCAAAGATAACCCAGCCATCCCCTACAATGCAAATCATGAATTCTCAGAAAATCTACCTTCTGGTGATTTGCGCAAAACTAAGGGCTCTTAAAAGTGAAAGATATCTTCACAGCACTTTAAGTGTATAACACCTTCAACAATCAGAATCAACAGTTAGCTTCGACTTCCTTATGTTAACAATTTTTTTTCAGACCCTTTTGTCATTTTTCTTCTTTGCAATTATTAAAGCAGTTTGCAATGGAAATTCTTGATTATTGATACCTCATCTAACACTCTAACCTCCCAAAAGGTCTATGGTCATCATGTCAAGAAATTTTCATCATCCAGATTGCAAAGACACTTGGGGCATGAATTAGTAAAGGGTGGGACGGTGGGGTATGCAGTAATAAAAAAGAACAAAAATAATGCCAATGCCCATAAAGTAATGCCAAATATAAGTTATTAAATATGTGTTTTACCAGCAAATGATAAATGCAAAAACCAACAGAAAACTGAAGACTTCCAAGGATCATCCCAATATGCCAGAGAAAGAAGCCACTGTCCAACTTCCATAACAGGAAGAAGGAATTCCTGCAAATACAGCAAAGTCAGGCACTAAGAAGATCCAGAGGCAATAAGGTTACAAATTGAGGTATGTTTACATAAAGAAAAAGGGAAGGTAGAGTCAGATTATGTTGTGAACTAATAGAGATCTCTTGCGATTATCACTGTCGTCTTCTTTGTGATTATCACTGACTTAGTTTATTTATTTCAGTTGTCATCAAAGTGTAAATATTCAAATAATTTGAATTAGTCCTAGGATATTGCATAACTTACCTCACTGCTGATATTACGAGGCTTATCAATGAAGAAAATCATGCCATATAATTCCAACCTTTTCTCGTTACTCATAATGTAAATTAAAGCCTGTTGATCCTTCAACTGACAGCTGTTATTAACTATATTCATGCATCATAATCCCCATGCATGCGCACACACAAGCAACTAGCAAGAGATAAAGATGTCTATATAGATCTTTTGGCCAGATAAATGACAGCAACCAAAATTCAATTCCAACTTTCAAACAACTAATCATCTTAAAATAAAATCAGCAGAAAGGGGATGAAGAAATAGGAAGAAGAGAGAATTTATAATGAGTAAAATTTGCAAAGTGAGATGCAAAACCACACCTTCATGACTGCCATTTGTGTCAATGCCATTTACTTAACTCCATAACTGTTTCTTGTGCTTTCACAACTTTCATATAGCTGTTTTTAGACTCCTTAACAGCTCTTTCCAGTGAACTCATCTCTCCAACAGCTATCTCACCCACAACAAGCCCAGCCTCATTGGGATTACTTGAATTTGGTCCAAACACAAACCCTAAGTTAGAACATAGCCAACGCTGAGATTGAGTACATTTCACCTCCAGCTCTGGAACTGTTAGTCCGGTCTAATTCCTTACAGATAACATGTTTGCAAGAGTTTCCAGAACCAAATCTCCACCTGGAAGCTGATCAACGGTTAAACATGAGGAGATTCTCACGCGTACAGAATTTGCAGTGCTAATTTCTTGAATGGCTTGTACTCTTAGAATTCCAAGTACAGCCTTTGAAAGTACTTCATCCCGCTCAACTCTTTGATGGAACTTATTTAAATCTGTGAACATAAAATTTCCCTGAAATTGCTAACCAGTAATCCCGACGAGTATGCCCTTTAAGCTCAGGAAACTCTAAGACAATTGGTTCTGATCTACAGGAGAAATAATTCAGAGTTAACTACTACAGAAGTTTAAGGAAGCTTTCAGTTAGTAAAAATGGCATAACATATAAACATTTGAACAGAAAATTACAGCAGCATGCTTACAGGGAAGTTGATTTATAAAAGACTGCCTTGTCGAAAAGTCTAGTACCCCACGGACCCGTCAATTCAGGCTTAACAACCTGTTTTAGATCTTCAGATAAATCATATTTTTTTGCCTTCTCATACGATACAACACGGTGAGCTTCAAAATATAGTGATGATCTGTCAGAGTCAATCGACCTACATAGATGTACAGATAAATGGAGGTAGGTCAACATACTTTATGTATTTCCTCTAAAGATGAATCAGAATGTACACACATAGAAACAAGAAATCCAATATTCTATCACAAAGTTCAATTTTTCAAGAGGAAAAAGGAAAAAAGTTTATAAACAAATATTATTCATCAATGAACCAACCTGGCCAGTAGATATTCCCGTGCTCTAGAACTGGCTGGTGGTCACTGTCCATTACTTCCAGATCTTTTCTTCTCTTGACGATCGAAGGGCAGATAGAATAGACGAGTCTGTTGGGTCTTCATCTTTTTTATTGCTCTATAGAGATTGACAATTCAATATCATGGCTAGATATGTGCACTATTGATTGAAGATATGCTACCATAAAGCTGATGAGACCAACAACACATTATGTATGGGAGGAAAATAAAGGTGTTAAAAGGGATAGGGACTAATTGTCAGGCTGTATGCGTGAGTGTATGGGTGGTATTAGGTTATGAGAGGAGTGACAAGTGGCAAGTGATGATTGAGGGGAGCGAATTCGGTTATAGTAAGAGAGTAGAAGAATAAAGAGAATGTGAGGGATCTTATAGGATCATTGAAAATAGTAAAAAGGGAAAGGGGTTGGGGAGGTGCTGGCCCTCGAAGTCCAGCGGGTTTCTTTGTCTTAGCAAATTATCTTAAATGGTTGG